TTTGCCAAACCTTGACCATGTAAGATGGGCAAAACTAGCTACCGGATGACTGAAGAGATCTGACAACACATTGTATAATTTTTTCTAAGCGTGAGTTTCTCAAGCATTCTCTCTAAAAGCATGCATCCTGTGGATTCAGTAAATTGTAATCAAACATTTCGAATCCTCTTCACCATCAATTATTTCACTTTGAGAATGTTTCAATGATAACTTCGACTCAACATAGGTTTATCATCAGCTCCATTAGATATTTCCTATATATGTCAGCTTAACTGTTTTACATCTTTGCAGTTCCATAACTAACTATTGAAAGTGAAGTCAACAAGTCTAAAAGGCTAGATGGATTATTCGGCAGCAGTACAAGCTACAGAAATCTTTGCCGCCTTAACTCCCACAGATGTAGTTCTGTGTCAGCATTATGAGAAAAACAACTTGTAAGCTTCGAGTTGAATTATGTTGCCATTTCCATCTGTCATTTTAAAATTTGAATGAAAATTTTTGACTTGAGAGTTTACTGCACCAAATGGCTAGGAAAGTAGTTTTCCATAAACTAAAGGGACATTGTTAAATATTTCAATATTACGATGGTGGCTTTTAAAGTCACTGAAAAGCTAAGACTTCAAAGTGCTGTGTCACTTCTACAGTAGTCGCCTGAAAGTTAGAATATTTAGTATATTGTCAGTCCGAAAACAACGAAAATAATTTCACCAGCCTGCGACTCAGTTACCATGTCATTCTTGTCGTGAAGGAAACCCAAATTTTAGTATGATTTGTGGTTTGAACAGTTTAGTTTTCTAAACTGATTCAATCTAAACATACTCGCATGCACACATCACTAGAAACATCAACCGTAAACGAATGAAATGGCCTTCGGATGTCCACATCACCTTGATCTGGTTACAGAGCATTATTAATCAACGTAGGTGGTCTAAAACTCTTCGAGTCAATCAGTATTATCTTAAGCACATTGTCATCCTCTGTATGATAACCCATTGGTTTAGGGAGATTACTTTTAATCAGTTGGCCGTGGGTTCGAACCCCACCCCACCTACCGAGGTTTGGACAGCAGCAGTAGCAGCATTAGTCCTGACATACAGTGATTATGGCTAACTGCTTGTTACATGAATGTGCACAACGATAACGACTGCATTTCTTCCTAGAAACAACTAGAGTTACTTCACTTTTGTTCATATAGTTTGTGAATTTTGATTCATTTTGTCATTAATCTAACATAATAAACTTGAAATGAATTTATTCGATGCCATCTGAATCAATCAAATTGATCACAATGTAATTTACAATTCCTTTGACAATATACTTCATTTCTTCACGTATATAGTGATAGTCGAATCACTAGTGCTGTTAAGAAAAATGTTTAGTGGTTGACCACAGCTAAAATCAGTAGATAACATGAAAGCATGATAGTTTTATTTTGTTTCTGACTAAGTTACTTCAACATACAAGCAATCGAAAAGTGCTATATTACTTTGAAATGTAAGTACACCACCTTAAAATGTTTTATTGCTTCATTTTTTACCATTTACCAAGGATAGAACCTCATGTTCTGTTAAAAAATTCACTCAGCAACTAAGTGCACATTTGTGCAGTGCGCAGTGAGTCACGCTTATGTTATGAGGTTTCGTGATACTACCTACCTGCACAAACCAAAGTAGATAGAACAGAGTATGAACCCATGACCCACTGGTTGGAAGTCAAGTGCATAAACCAGTGGATAACAGATTCATTCTTGACTCCTTTTTCACGTAATCAGGAAATCTAATGATCGATAAATGTGATCCTGTATGATTTCACTACTTGATGATTTGAAGGTGGATAAGTCTTGAGTGGAAGCCAATGAACTTTAGAATTTATCAGGTGTCAGGCATTACTAACTAGCTCAGTGAGATAACACTAAGATGTGTTTTACGAACACTTTCCCTTCTTCAGTAAATGGTTGATAATTATTGCTTGTTGGCATATACCAACTAGCGAGTGTACACTTTACTGAGATTATCAGCAGAAGAACAATAAGAAAGTACTTTTATAAAATAAATGTTTAAGATAGTATCTTCGTAAAGTGACTTAAGAAAAATGATTGGCTTGAAAAATGTTTCCCACCTGAAGCAATTCGCTTTCAGTGTTGGTAACCTCAGCAATTCACATACGCAATGGCCTTCCATTAGCATGGTCGTCTGAATCAAACTGGTAGTGTGAATGTCTGCAGCAGCCGGTCCCTGGTAAATAACTAATTTTATACTGCCTAACCCTAAATGCTTACGAAATTTTATCAGTCACTGTTTAGGTGATACAAATTCAAACCGTAGCGGATGTTTACAGATACACTTTACTGATGAGTGCCAACAATTACAAAAACCTGTTGCACGGCTTCCTACCGATTGTCTCCTCACATTAATTAAATGTGAAAGATTTTTAAATCTGCAGTATATACAATGTGCAGTTCTTTTTCTGGCTTCCCTGACATCAATTTTGTTATCAAGAAGACCCCAATTAGTGCTATGAATATTCTAATTTCCCAAGGAAACACTTATGGATACTCACATTTAGGTTGTTCAAGATTGCATCACCTTCATCAAGTAGTGAAGCCCCACCACACACTCTGAGTTCTTACTAATAATTCCTTTAACGAGCAACACAATCACATTACAGTTTGCTTAAAAATGTTATTTGTCTGAAACCTGTATAAAGTTGAAATTTTTAGGTGGTAGAGTTCAGCATTTTATCGAAAAAGAGATAAATGTCAAGTAAGGGAAGTGGTCTAGTTGAATTAGGTGTTCTTCCCACTTGCATCATCTATTTCTGCTACAATGACCTAGCCACCTTCAACTGAATGGACCATGAGATGCACTGAAGAATCTTCAAGCTCAGCAGAAAGATTAATTTCGCTGGGATCACCTTTCATTTGTTCGAAAATAATCCAGCAAGTAGACAACAAAACTGGAGGTCATGTATGCATCATCGAACTTCTTGATTCATACTGTTTTTTTTGCAAAGAGAAAACTAGGAGAAACAAAAAAATCCATATTAACATCAAACAATCGCTCTTTTCCCCTTTCTGATTTGAAATAAGTTTGACTTGAACAAGATGGTTTAATTTATGGAGGGAATTATTCGTTTTACTGCTGAATCCAAAACATCGACTGAACAGGGAGATGAGAGGTCTTTCAAAGATTATGCATAAATATTAGGTGATGATTGAAGGTGAAATGAAAATGGGGGCAGCGGCAGGACTCAAACCAGAAACCACCGAGTTTCTGACCCAGTATCAGTAAACCAAGTCTGCCAAACCAGGACTATCTCAGGTAGCCAAATGCTTAATTCTTATAATACTCCCGCTTTCTAATTCAGCTCAATTTAGGATGTGTTCAAAAGTCCTGATTGGACAGCCAGTAGGAATATGAGCAAGTGATAGTAACGTATTACGGATTCACATAGCAGTCAGGCGAAACCGTTTGTGACTGAAGTGAAATTACGCTGTGGTCAGAGGGTGGGTCTCATAGCTCGGCTGGTATAGTACCAGGGTGGTAGCCCAGTGTTCGCTGGTTCGAATCCTCTCGGGGAGCAAATTTCAATTACACTTTCAGTTAAACACGAGTATTAATACAAGTCTGCGAAGCAACATCTCAGATATTCAGACTGATTATATACATATATAGTTGTAAGCTGAACAAACTCTAGTAAACAAATTAACCTGGTTAATTCACTTTGATAATCAACATGCATAGTGATTAGTAATGTAATCCAAGACTCATTTTTCGTCCCATTTAAGACTCATAACCTTTATACACCTATCTTTCTGTGAGTGGTGCAGTTCCTATTGAGACTTGAAGCTAGCACTCACTGCTTAAAACGTCGTCACTGTTGAGACATCCACACAGAAAACCCGGTGCTAACCATGGCTTATCATTTCCGTCCAAACCAATCAACAACTATTGAGCCACAGTGACTTACTATCCTAGTGAATGAAACCCCGGAGTTTGAAATGATAAGTGCTGAGTTGGAGTTTCCGTCGGAATGGCATTAATCACTGGGAAGTAGGCATCTCCAACTGACGAGTCCTAAATAGAAGAAAAAGCGCGTCCTAAACTCCACTACTAGCCCCCTACCGGTTACACTGAGGCATCTGAGCATATGCCAATAGTGGTCGACTAATTTAGTTCAATCAACAATGGTTATTTTATTTGTTCAAATGTATTTTTGGAGGCATGTCCAAATCACTTTTGCATAACTTAACTTTATTCAATGAGGATGTCGATTTACATCCTAGAAAAGTGATATGTTCATTATATTGAAGAAAGTTTTTTTAGTCACCATTTCAATACCACATATCTTTTTTGCAGTATTCGTTCATTGCCCTGTTTTGAAAAAAAACATTTAGGGTAAACTAATTGACTCAAATTTCATGCAACTTGACAATCAATAGAGAGCTAGAAATTCACCTTCGAAGTTATTCTTTCCATTCACTATATGATATAAAGAGGGAAAAAGTAGGATGGTAAAACTTGTGACTACTTTCTTCAATGATTGATTATACACCAAGTTTTCATCGATGAACTTTGATTTTAAGTGGTGACTTCTGAAGATGATAACAGTGGTGAAGATTCGTTAATGATTTAATGCGTATAACTTGTCATTTGATAAAAATATGCACTTCTAGCAATAATAAGGTATAGTCTAACATACATGTTTACTTGAAAATCAAAATCTTGACATCATGTAGACTCACACTGCCATGTTCAACAATAAATGCCTTTAGCTAAAAGTTATTATTTGTACACACTAACGTCTTCTTAGTTCATTAAGTTTAGCGTTATTTCAATTCAGAATTTTCTGGACACGGCCTTTGATAGTAGTGTACATCCCAGCATTAGCGATGCCCATATAAACGTTTTAATAAGCATACTGAACGTAGACTTTTACGATGCAGTTGATTAAATCCCTCTGGATATGTATCTGTGTACATTTCATTTTCTTTTGAAAAGGTTTCAATTCGTCTAGAATCCTTTGGAGAAAGACCAGCTGTTCGTTGTATGAGTCACATATATCATCCAAATATCCAAGATTATGATTGCGATGGAACTGTTTGTCTGAACTTATTTGACAAATGGAATATGTAAGTTATATATTTTAATGCACACTAACCACCTGACGAGTATCGCGAAAGAGTCCATCAGTTGATAATGTAGCCATTTGGTTAGAAAGAAAGGGAGTGGCACTGGTCACTGACTGACATCATTTGGAGGACTACTGAGAACTAAGGAGTATTGACCAGTTGTTATATCCTAGTATGGGACTAATCAGCAGTAAGCACCTACAGCCCCAGCAGGAATAGAACTCAGAACCGTGGGGTCCCTCACTAACCATATCTCCATTCAGCAAATGGATCGGAATCTGATAGTATTTCTGTCAGTTCACGATATGGTAGGATCGTCTTCGAAGCTATCACCCACTGCTGGTCTTTTCGTCCGATTTGGTTGATCCCATAGGTCATTGTTTCCAATTAGAACTTCGAAAAATGGATCTCAAAGAATGTACAATGCTCCTATGTTTTCAATAGCTCTTAAACTGGCTTAAATCCATGACCAATGCCACCTTGAAATATATCTGTGGAGCAGTGTTTTGTGGAATCAATCTTCGTTTAAATGATACCCTAGTGACTACTATGCTTACATAACTAGCCTACACATATTGGTTAGAAGTTTGTTATAAATGCTGTGAATAACATAGCTTATGATTCATTATATCCTGACAACTAGTCGAAGATCAAGATGAAATTGACCTCTTCTCAAGGTTAGAAAGCCTGTACACTTAAGTTACTTTTCCATACCAGAATACCGATGCCGTAATTTGCATTTTTATGTCAAAGTTCAGAATTGTAGTGGACCCAAAAATGTCAAGTAAACCAAAATGACAAACTACGTATAATTTACAAGAAAAATGGATTTTATGATACACGTGTGTGAAAAGTTATACGTTATAACACAAATAGTATTGTCAATGTCATAGATAATCACTGGTTACTTGAATGTTATCTCTTCGGTATTGTCTACCACAATTTTAGATACTCTAGAGATCAGAAGGCAATACTTATTGGCTCTCCGCAGTGGTCGTTGGTTGGCTTGATTGTCGTAATATTTGGAAGTAGGATGAGAGGTCGTGTAAAAATCCCAAGACAATCACTTAGTATGCACGACAGGCAATAGTCGTGGAGACAGAAGTCGGAATGGTTAGAAGCACACTAAATTTCCACGATTAGCAGCAGCGAAAGATGCAATTACCGCCACAACCAAAAAGTGTATATATAAACAGCATTCGTTTTTACAAGTATTAGGAATAATGTACAGAATGTGTAAAAGAAACGATGAAAAGGAAATATTACTTATAGTTGAAGTGGTTTATACACAATTGTATGCAGTCTCCACAGAATAGATTTAATTCAGGAAAGAAAAAGTTTTTAAAGGGAATCGCATGTTAGTTCACTAATCAAGTATATCAAAATGAGGCTACCTACTGATTAGTGAAGATTGATCGGTGACATATTTCCTACTATATCAATCAACATTGTAATTTGGTCATTAGTACAGGCGGCTCATCGTGGTGATTCACTTTGACTGAGTTGAGGTAGTTCGTTGGAGTTGGTAGGATATTGTTAACGTATGTTTCTTGCTGATTATCAGTCTTCATTAAAGTGAATCAGCGATTTCATGCTATATTCTGAATATACCAGTGAGAATGAAGTAAGTTTCTGTATACGCTTACGATATGTAGCTTGTATATAGCGATGACTTTGTCAAGTCATAATGAGTGAACTGCAGTACTGTCACCGAAAAATAAGAACGGCTTACAATTCTGTTGTTTGATAATCGTGATTTCCCGCTGCCATACTGGGTTGAACTAACGGGAACGAGTTCATTGGCGAAGGCGTCTTGTACAGCACTCATCAAAAATGGTACACCTTGCACTTAGACAGTCATTTGCATAATGTGCTTCATTTCCTCTTCCGCTTCTATCTTGAGTTGCTCTTAACACCTCAACGCTGTATCTTGCGTTTCCCTGGGCAAAATCCCTACCCATTGCTGGTAATTCTGTAAGATTTCTGCCACCCTCTCAACATATACTACTTATATCCATTTTAATCAGCAACGATTACGACAGAATTACTTGACATTTGTTGACAGATGAACTGTTACGTGGATATCTCGATACTGCCTGGATGTTATTATATTGTGGTCTACTTGGTAGTTAGTAGAGGAGTTCAGGACGTCCCATTTTCGGTTCGTCAGCTGTATATACATGGATCCCAGAGAGTGATGGTATTCTCCCTGAGGCTGGATCTCAACACTCAGCATCCATCTCTTCAAAAGCCAAAAAGTTATTCATAAAGCCATCGGGTTACAGAAGCCACTTCTTGTGCAACTATTATTAATTGTCGTTGATTGCTACTTAAAATTTCCTGCTCCGAATTGCTCTATCTCTTTTGGCAGATGGCCTCCTTTGGGAATGCCTCAATGCTGTCTCAATGTTGATCAAGCAGGTTGAGTAATTCGATCCAAAAAAACAACAGGAAATTACAAGTATCAATAAACGACAACTGACACCTGTAGTATAAAAGGTGGGTTCTGCAACTTAGTGGTCTACTGGGTAACGCTGTGGTGTCTGAAGAGTTGGATATAGTGTTCGAATCTCACTGGGAACATCATCACTTACTGGGGTGCAGTTATATCCAGCTGATGCGTCATAAATAGGATGAAACCTAGGTTCTGGATCTGAAGTAGACTACAGTTTAAGTTTTAGTTTCATAAATGTTGAAGAATGTAAAAAACAGAAAATTTAAGAGTATGAACAGAAAACAGATAGAACTGAGGGGAATCCAAATCTTCTCCATGTGACACTGCCATTCTTTTATCATACTCTCCTTTGCACCAGACTTACAGGAAATGCTTGGTGCTACAAACTTCTATATGTCTGCATGATAATGTTGCCTGTAACAGCTGATGATGAAATAAAATCCTAATGGATTTTCAAAGACACAAAACAAGTATTGTTGGCTTACTATACTGACAGAGGAAACTGTATTTCTACTGGTGAACTGCAGACTTTATTCCTACCGTCTTTAGGGGATTTTATAAACCTAAATGTCTATCGTACGATCAGTCTACTTCGTTCAATAGGGAAGAAATGTTTTTTATTATTTATAGTTAGTCGCATAAGTACTCTTCTGGTAATTCCTGTTTATGCATTTTTGAGATGAATGGGGATTTTTAATTTAGAAGTAGCATTCATCATAGACTGACATCAGTTAGGGAACCACTGAAATTCTGGGAGCACTGGACAGTTGTTTCGTCCTAGTATGGGACTCCTCAGCAGCACTTATCCACTACCCGGCTAGGGATGGAACTCAGGACCTTCAGGCTTCACGACGAACGCGTTAACCATTCATCCACTGGGTCGGTTTCCAGTCGTTCACAGTTTTCAGTTTCGTGGGTGCGTACTGCGGAGGAGTCCCATAATGGGACGAAATAGTTGTCCAGTGCTCCCAGATCTTCAATAATTCCCCAACTGATGTCAGTCCATGATGAATACTACTTCTAAACTCCTCGTTATGTTTCTTTTCACAACAACAAATAACTCTATCATTTAAAGAAAAATGAGAAGTGGACTAAGGTAACAGTCAACCACCGAAACTACAGTTACATTTCCAAAACAGTTTACAAACATGCATTTTGTTTATTCACGTAGTGTACTAGCTACAAAACTCTCTCAAAGCTTAATGTTCTCCATGGTAAAAAAAAAACACTTAGCTCAGAGTATGCATGCCTAAGCTATTTTGTTCTTCCCGCTTTTGCCACATTTTCAATGATCCTGATATTCATCTCATTCAATGTAAGCAGCACAATCTTAGATAAACCTTATAATTGTTGATGTGCTTGTAATTCTCCTATGCGGATCCCACGATATTGCTTGAATAGTTATTATGATAATTAATTTAGTTGTGGGTAGCACATGGACTCGTCCTCTAGATGTACCTGCACCCCGGCGAGTGGTGCTTTTCCCAAGGTAACTAGAAGATCATAACCATTGCTTCAAATGCCAAAGGGATTATTCACAAGATCAAAGGGTATTAGTCATTACTATTTGTTGATATGCTTGTAGGGTGCAGGTATATCCAACTGATGAGTCCGAGATAGGATGAAAAAGCGCATTCTAAATTTCTCTGTTAGCCACAATCAATTAAGCCTAGTAATGGCAAGATGTTCAAGGTGAAATCCGATTTTATTATCACAAACATTTCTAAGAATTAACTAGATTTATACCTGAACGATTTAAGACTTTACAAATCTTCAGTTAACTTTGTTTTTTCTCATCACATATCATAGCTTATAGATGATGAGATCTTCTAGATAAAACTACTTAGAAGATGTGAAATAGTTAGCTGGTTTTAATGCGTAGCTGTGTTTCAGAAGTCAATTGTTGTCTTTTTTTCTTATCCATGACACAGGTAAAAAAAAAGCCAGATGAGAAGGAAACAAAAAGACACTAAACGGGAGAAATTCCAAATGCTTTGAAAATCATTCCTTCTTTTTTCATTACAGTATGAGTAAATGAAAGATTTCTATGGTGCTATAATTGGCCAATACAACTTCTAGGTTAACCATAACCAAGTCTTTCAGTCAATAGCTGAGGAAGTGATCTTGAATACTTTAAGGTATAAGTGATGATAGGCTTATTCATCTATTGTGCCTAATTATTACCATACAAAGTCTGATGATAAACTTTCTGCTGAATTGTATCTATATTCTCTTACTCCAAATATATCACTCTTTTTTGTTTTTTAAAGAGAAAATTGACTGTTTGACCTACGAGTATGCTCAGTAGTCAAATCTGTAATATTTACCGCACATACATCTATGAGTAATTTCTGAGGTCACCAAGTATTTGTGACTTGAACTTCAAGCGTTCACTTTTGAAAAGTGATACATATTAATGTACACCAACGGATGTACAACTATGTTCGAATGAGGAAGTTACTATTTTCAAAGATATTCAACTCATTGAAAAGACAGGTGGCCTTACACAGATGAAGATTTAAGTAGTTCTCATTGTTAAATTACTATATGAATTGATAAGTCTCTTTCGGCACACAGTTTCCTTAGTGTTAACGCAGCTGGTCTTGGGCTTGAGTCCTGCCATGGACAATAGCATACTACGATGCACGTGTACATATCTATGTTACTAATTAAATCAGAACAGAATTCACCTCATAGATTCCACAATTATTCATCAAGTAACTATAAGGAGTGAATCAGATTACTTCATCAAAGAAACAGGAAATCATTGATTGAGTCCCCAAAATGACTGTTTGTATGGATTTTCAATGTAATGATTTAGAGTATAGTGGATAACACACAACTATTCAAAGACTTATAAATACTTCATTGAAGTTTATTAGATATTCAGTTACTTTTTTTCTGTTGAGAAATTTCTGCAAATCTTTTGTCACAATGTTATTGCCTTTTCACAAAAACCATAGTATTATTTTTAAGGTTGTATTCAATACGGATGATGTCATTTGGAGAGCCATTGAGGACATGGGAGTAGTGGACACCTTTTTCGTCTTTGTATAGGACTCTGTGGTAGTACACATCCACGACCCCACCAAGGATGGAACTTAGAACCTCCTGGTTTTCAACCATGTGGTTGGAGTTCAGTGGTCCACAGTTTCCTATTTCTATCAGTCTACAAGATATGAAGATTTTCTATGTTTCAGCCGTGGTCGGGTTGAGGAGTCACATACTAGGATGAAACAGTTGTCCAGTACTCCTAGGGTTTTCAATAGTTTCCCAACTGATATTAGTCCATAATGAGTACAGTCTTAAAAATAAAATCCCCATAAGACCGGAAAGTGCAGTAATATTATTGTTTATTTGTACTTCTAATTTCCAATTGTTATTATGGATGGAACTGATTGACTGGTGTTACAAAATAATGAATCACCAGACAGTATCGATACATTCACATAGGGGCCCATAAGCCATCAGAGCCCGGTAAATCCATTCAGAATAACAAACGGAAATTACGACTATACATAAATAATAATGACTGAGACCCGTTACACAAGAAGTGGTGACCTGTTGAATAACGCAAGAGTGTTTGAAGCTATGGGTGCTGGGTGCTGAATTCCAGCCTCAGGGTGAACGCAACCATCTTCCGAGTCTCAAAAAGGACAAAACGCAGGTACTGGATCCCAATGCTAACCACCAGCAGGTGAATCATGACAAAAACTGTAGTAATTTTAGGAGGTTCAGGTTTTCTTAAACCTCAGTGGCAGTTTTAAGATAAGAAAATTTATTATAGAAAAAACTTAAAAGCTGTTTTTAATGATTATTTTTCTCACCTATCTAATCGTCAAGGATTCAAAATGTACATTTTAAATCTTATTTACACTGTAAAGTCAAGTAACTAGATCCTGATATTATGATATTACTATTATACTGTGTGATAAGAAAGTCTACATCTTTCAGAGAAGTTTGACGCCTCTAAAGTCTTTCACAGACAATCGTTGTACCCCGAATTCCGAAGAATAGACACGTCATTCTATAAGTAAATACTGGATGGAATGAAGATGCTAAACCTGTAGAGAATTAAGCACCCTAATATAACGCTGACCACTGAAAATAGAATGACTTTAGAGTCTATCGTAGCAACGAGTGAAATAACCAGTTAGTTTTCTTCATTTTCACTGGAAAATTAGTTTTCTCATATAATGCAGAACTCACATTAGTTACTTTGATGGTTTTTTGATTAGGTTTTAAGGTCACTCTGTAAATATGCATAAATCATCGTATTTTGTACAAGTTTGACTTATCAATAAATCTTACATATACACATTTGTATACTCTTCCATCTTATTTCTTTTTATCTTATCAGTGAAATGGGCTTAAAAGCCATCGTTGATGGCTTATTATTTTTATTCTATGAACCGAATGAAAATGATCCAATCAACGAACACTTCATTATTCCACCGGGATACACGTTTGAACAAGCAGTTATTGAATCTCTACAGGGAGGTAGTTATTCTCACTACTCAGGTCCACCAAATAAACCATGGTGTACATGGTATGATAAACAATTAAAAGATAAGCAAAATTTAATAGAAAATCAAAAGGTAAGAGATCAACAATTAGAACATTCAAGACAGAATTATAATGATTAATTTGAGTAAAATTGCCAACATGGTGATCTTCTGAGTTCAACAATGAAAATGAATGTGAATCAATTTCACATAAACAAGTATAAATGAATTCATAATGTTTTACCTTGATCAATTTTCAATGTCTATTGATTCATGTTCTCCATTTTTATACTAATACAATACTAATAAAGTAATACTTAGTAATTTAATTTACTAAAATTAAATGAATATTCTTATACCAAGTGATCAGATGAAAGGATTGTCAACTAACTAATAAATTCTAGTCTCAATAATGTAAGTGTAAAACTTAGTCAGTGCGTTATCATATCAGATTTGTGTATTTGATATAATACATAGTGATACAGCATCATTTACTGGATGATTGTATATTACATGATTATGAACATTAATTAATGTTGGAAACGTTATCAAGTAAATAATCATCCATTTTTGTGGGCTGATTGTATCGATTAAAATATATCTAATATGGAAGTCAACTCCAGTTTGCATATTAAGCCATAAATAACGTGTATAGCCTGACGTGTAGTATAAAAGTGAACTATGGATAGATGTACTATTTGTACTACTACTGCTACCACTACTACTCACACAACTTCTATAACTAACAAGAGAATTTTGCTCAGCTCCCGGTTCCAGGCTCAACTTCATTTTCATACAAATCAGTAAGTAAAAACTAGATATTTAGTCCCTTCACCAAGTAGGAAACATTATAAAAACCCTTCCACACAAAAATGAACATACCTGACAGAGCATTATGTTAACTTCCCATCATAAATGATCAGTGTAAGCCAAGGACTCAACTCATCCACATTATCTGGATAACTGGTTCTTTGACCTTACATCTCCGTGAACAAAGGTGCGTGAAAGGTGTCTCACAGAACTTTTCAAAATCCTACAAAAGAGATACAACTCATCTTCTCGGAAGATTATCACTGTTTCACCAAAATTTCATAAACGGAGGCTGTTCCCTAGCTATTGTTATGGCTAAGACTACAATGAACGATATCCGGCTCTCTAGACTGAATGTCACCCGTTTCCTCAGGGCTAACCACACAATCTTTCTTGAGACTGTTTCAACAACAGTGACTACCGGAATTCAGAAGCTGGATTCCCTCATGTTACTGTCGCACTGCTGCCAGCTCACTGGAAGGAATCCTGATGGTTATCTAGACCGTCCGTGCTTTGGAGACCCATACTACTGATCTGCGTATATGAATCTCGTTAACCGTGTTTGCCGTAAAGTTAGCTGTGACAGTGGATTAATTAATATCAAGCGCCATCACATAGTGACTCACCGTCATTGTGTAACTAGGCTCGATTCGTAATCACCTGGTGCACACTCCATCTCCAGTTTTCTACGCGAGCAATACAAGAACCAAAAAAACGTAACCACCCAGTGTAAGGTTTCTTCAGTTTGGCATCCTGTCACGTAACTATGGCAGAAGCATTTGGCTACCTTAAGAAAGTCAGTTACTACTCACTTTACTACCATCCACACTACTACCGCAGCTGCTACTACTACTACTACTACTACTACTACTACTACTGATAGTATCTTGAAATACTTACAAGCAGTCGCGAATTAGTAACTGGTTAACCTTTGTTTTCGATGCGATAGGAAAAGAAAAGTATTTTCAGGTGATTACATTCACAGTTATTGAAAATCTAAGTAATTATCCCTTTAATAGTAGACACATATGGTGTTGGGGTTATATGATATTCATGTTTAATTGGTAAATAAACCAACAGTAATCACATACGAGTGGTAATTATGCTATCGCATGCACCAGTTGCATCGTCATATCTTTCTATCCTATGAGACTTCCTCCATCGCAATGTGTAGCCTAGCCACCTATGAATGGCCATATAAAATCATGACATGTCTGAAATGAATTCATACGAGCAAATGATTTGAATATTAATGGAACTATCTAAGATAACCGTCAATTAGGGGACTGGTTTCATCAGTAAGTAGTGATGACCAAGCGTGAAATAAAAATCTAAGTGACTGTAGGATTCGAACTAGTTGCCGTTGAATTATCAGCTCGGTTTTCTACTGCCTGAGCTTCTAAACACAGATAAGTCGAATAACCATTTAGAGCCTTGTAAAACAGGACAGCTGCTTCATTCTTGTTTGGGATTCCACAGTAGTGCCAGCTTAGGACCACCCGTAGGTCATTGCTTCTCATTAGAGCTTCTAGAAACCTATCTCTAGCATAGCTTATATCTTGTGAACAATGGACAGTAATTCTATTTGGAAGTTCATTGGCTGAGCACGTGGTCAGTAACCCTCTGGTTCGAATCCTTCAATTAACCAGGTTTCCATTTCACGTTTAATCATTATTCCACATAAATAATTCTGAAGCATGTGATTTTCCATCATATTTTCATTCGGTATTTTTCCTCTTTTATGAGTATTTTAGGTGTACATCAAGTTAGTAGGGGAAAAACTTTTGCTTTCAGTGCTGTGTTATACGAATGTTTACACATCTTTACCTGAGAAATTTATTTGTTTCTGTTTTTGCTGTCATAAAAAAGCTGAAATCATGCTTTATTAAAATATGATAATTATTAGAAGTATGCAGAATAGAGAGCCAAATTTCAATTTGCTTTTTTGAAAGGATCCTGTTGGAGATACACTGTGACATACTTTGACGCATGTGCAATCAGTCACCTGATGGCAGAGTAATTGAGATGAAACTAAGCAATTCATACCCCATTTTACCCAATAATCCAATAATATTTCATAAATTATTTTAATACGTTTTTGTCGAAAATGTAGATAAACTTTTTAAGTCAAAACTTATTGAGTATTACGTGGGATAATGATGAATCCATCGATGTCTATTTAACCACGAAATTCAAGTATATGAATATCAAAAGGCAGAATTTCCGGTTAACTGATTGAATTTTCTCACAGATTGTAACAGATAGACTCATTACTTATCAATGAGCTATGCAACCAGGAAAAACAGAAGTGTCAACCACCCACTAGGAAACAGCTGGTCGATAAAGTACAAAACGAAGGTTAAACTTGAGGTTATGAATTCTCACTACTTTCAGTACACATATTTCTATCCGCTGTAACGTTAACAATAAAAAAATGCTTCCTAATTTATATGCTTATAGTTGTTATAGGTTGTGTCTATGTTAGATATTTATAAGCCATTGCAAGCGGATTACCAGCTTCGGCTAAAATGTAAGTTATGAAAGTGTGATATTAATAAAAGTCAGGCTTGAAAAATATCAGTGATAACATAAATTTTGTGAGTGAAAATATTTTCACTTACTAAACTTATCTACTTTTACTATTTTAGACAGTAAGTCTCTACGTCTGTTGTCTCTGCGTTCATGTAGCCTTGTTATAATGTTGAAGTTCTTGCCTAGTCGTCATAACAGCAGAGTAAGAGAAAAAATAACAACTTACAAATCCAGCCTACAGTAATAAATTCATCCTTTAAGGGTTTAGGCGAGTACTTATGACCTTAACAAATAAGTGATCAATAATGAGCCAATAAAAATGATGAGTTACAAGGTCAAGGCCCCTCGTCACTGATTGGTTGTTATTCCCGTTGGCATATTATTTGTTTCTAAAACGTAAATAAACTGATTCACTTGACATACAGGATAAGCAATTATTTATTTCACTTTTTTAAAGGCCAATAATAACCAAGTTTTTCCAGAAGATTTTTTATCACAGAATTTTATTTTCATGTGTATCTTAGATTGTTTCAAATAAAAGAAATTCAGTTGATTTAGTTTTGATGTGGATAGTGAACAATTTGAAAATATATGCTGACAAACAATCATATCTTATGAACTGCTACCCACCGTCCAATATTTATTTACTTTGTTATAATTTGTGTACTATTATGCAACCTAAATGATTCGTCATGATGTTTATTTGTACAACATAAAGAACAGATGACAAAAATTGGAAATATTAACTTCAATGTAAGGTTACTTATTAGGCGTACTGAGTTTTCTGACTTCAGATGACAGAGTAGTTACACCTAAATGATATCGATAAAGAGGTAGTGAACTGCATCCGTTGAATTCGACACACTTCACAACAGTACGGTAGGAAAATTGACCATTATAAAGGCTGAGGGAGAAAATATATTCAGTAAAATTCAGAATAAATACACCAACCCTACAGTTATCAGCTGTGAAGTTTCAATGGGAATTTCGAGCCAATAATTCCTTAATTCTCATAGATACCAAACGATGTACCACACAAAACGCAGACGAATAATGAGCAGTTTCATGTATTTGTGAAGCATGTTAGTCCGGTTAGCCTTATCTTCGTTATTCATCTAATCCTACTCTAAACATGATACTTTTATAATGTGAAAAACAATAATCCTCACAGATATTATCGCGGTTTTCTTACAAAACCGGAGGAGTCGCTATTTACTATAGGGGTTTTCATGTTTTATTTGGAAAGTGTCACTTCAGTAAGTACGGGATGGGTTGCATGCATACAGGATACAACCTACACTGAACCTAGCACACAAGCACTAAGTCATGTCCCTTCTGAGCCTGTAAATCGGACGTTAAAGCAGATATGTATACCCTTTTCACACTGATACCAAGTAACCTTAATAAATCCATCCAGTAGACGTTAGATATGAAGTTGGTAACGTGTTTCCGTTTCATTAAAGGATAGAGTCAGTTTATTGTTTATTCGTCAGTGTCATGCTGAAGCAAACTGATAAGTCTCTTTTAGTATCTCCACTCGGTGAGAGTGTCATCACTCACTTTGGCGCATCTGAAAAGCCGCAAGGAGGACGAAACTTGAGTCTAGGGCTGCACTACTTGCCACCAACATTGCGAGATCAGTTAATATACATACATATTAGCATATATTTTCGTAGCAAAATTTACTAGTCATTTTCTTTACAAGTAGTTAGGTTTCTCACTGTATCGATTTGCTAGTAAGTAAAAGCCGCATCTCAGAGACGTTCGATAGTTGAATATTTTCTAGACGAACGTCTTTC